CTCCTCTGTCGGGAGCTGGACCGGTACCGCCTGGATCTATGCGGCATTCAGGAGGTCCGGTGGACCGGCTCTGGCTCCTGCCACCATGAGGGGTGGACAGTCCTCTACTCGGGGCAGCAGACTGCCAAACAACAGGGTGTGGGTCTTCTTTTGAACAAAAGAATGAAGGGGGCGTGGGAGCGTGGCGGTGAGGTGTGGGAAGCTGTAAGCCCCAGGCTACTTTGGGCTCGCCTTCCCATCAACCGGAGGCGAGGAATGGTGGTCGTGGTTACTTATGCCCCCACCGAAGATGAACATCCGTGGAGGGATGCAGGCAAAGCCGATGAGTCAGATGCCTTCTATGACCTCCTGTCACAGGTGCTGGCTAAAGTGGCCCCTCGGGATAGAGTCATCATGTTGGGTGACTTCAATGCCCGAGTTGGTCATGATACTGGCACCTGGTCTGGAGTGATTGGAGGGCATGGGCCAGATCAGCTCAATAACAACGGTAGGAGGCTGCTAGATTTTTGTGCAGCCCATGGGCTTGTAATTACCAACACGCTGTTCCGGCATCGGCGCATCCACACAACATCATGGATGCATGCCGGGTCCAAGCAAGAACATCTGCTGGACTACATAGTGACGGACCAGCGAATGTGAGCCCATGTCCTTGACACCAGGACCTACCGTGGAGCTGATCTGCCCTCTGACCATCGACTAGTCATCTGTAAGATGCGCCTGCCATTCTTCCACTCCGGTGGTGGGTGTACACCCAGGACCCCATTCCAACCTAAAGTGGCCTGGTCTCAGTTATCTGATGAAAGTTGCAAGCGAGAATTTCATCATCGCTTGCGGCTGGGATTGGCATCGTCCCCGACTCCTCCTGATGTCGAGGGTAAATGGGCGAGGTTTAGGACTGTGACTCATGCAGCTGCAATGGCTGCTTTGGGTACGCGGCCCAGACCTCCCCAGACACCCTGGATGACAGAGGAGTTGTTCAGGATGGTTGAGAAAAAGCGACAGGCCCACTGTCATCGGCTACAGAATCCCACGTCAGAGAATGAGGAGGCTTACCGCAGCCTTCGCTCGGAGGTTCGGAGAGCCGTGAGGCGCTGCAAGGATGGGTGGTGGTCGCGGGTTGCTGAGGAGATGGAGTCTGCCTCAGTGGCCCGTGATCACAAATCTCTATTTAACTCCATCAAAAAAGTAACCTGCAGCGCCACACCTATTACCATCATTAGGGGAAAAAACGGTGATCCAATTTCCGACCCCCAGGAACAGGTTCGCAGATTTGCTGAGCATTTCTGTGAGGTCCTGGGGGAGGGAAAATCCCTCAGCCAGGAAAAGATCGTGGCACAAAGTGAGGATGACCCTGCTGAGGATGCGGTGCCTCAAATATTGGATGAAGTCACCCCCTGTGAGTGGCTGGCTGAGGTGCCATCTGCTGAGGAAGTATTGAAGGCGATCCGGAGTCTGAGACCAGGAAAGGCAGCGGGCAGAGATGATCTCCCAAGCGAAATGCTGAGGGAGGGTGGCGTTTGTGCACAGACTGCCCTATATGACATCATAACAACAGTCTGGACCACTGGACGGGTTCCGCAGGATTGGAAGGATGCCCTGGTGGTCCCCCTTTTTAAGAAGGGGGACCGCACAGACTGTAACAACTACAGGGGCATCTCACTCCTCAGTGTGCCGGGAAAGGTCCTGGCAAGGATTATTCAGCATCGCCTTGCCAGGCACGCTGAGGAGAGGCTTGCGGAGCCCCAATGCGGTTTCAGGAAAGGGCGGTCCTGTACAGATGCCATATTTTCTGTCCGTCTGCTACAGCAGAGGTGTAGGGAATTCCAACAAGACCTACATCTCTGCTTTATTGACCTGGTCAAGGCCTATGATACCATCAGTAGGCCTGGGCTCTGGGTCGTTCTTCGTGCTTTTGGAGTACCTAACCCTCTGCTCACGATCATTAAGGACCTTCATGATGGTGAGCGGGCCCGGGTAAAACTACGTGGCCGGGAGTCAGAGCCATTCCCTGTACACCTTGGGGTGCGACAGGGATGTCCTCTGGCTCCCACATTATTTAACATCTATTTTGACCACGTAGTTCGTGAAGCCTTCAATAGCTGTACCGGGGGAATCTCCATATGGTACAGATATAATGGGAGGCTAATCGATGCCCGGGTGCGGTCAAGGGATGGCTCCCTATTGCTCAACCACGTTATGTATGCTGATGACTTGGTAATAGCTGCTCAGTCAGAGGAGGAGTTGGAGACGCTGCTGCTGAGACTGGAGCGTGCCACTAAGAGGTGGGGCCTTACCATCAGCCCCACCAAAACTAAGCACCTGCCTGGGTATTTTGTACCATCGGACACTCCACCCCCACAACTCCAAATCGGTGATGGGGCAGTTGTGGAGAGAGTGGAGAGTTTCCCATACCTGGGCAGTGTGCTTATGACTGGCTCCAGTTTAACAGCAGAGGTCTCACTCCGAATCAGTCGAGCGGCAATATCTTTTCATCGGTTGCGTAACGCTGTGTGGAAGCTACCTGGTCTGTCGCTCCGCACTAAGCTTCAGGTCTTCTCGGCCACGGTCATTCCCTCCCTTCTCTACGCTTGCGAAACGTGGACCCCCCTAATGGAACATCTTCGCCGGTTAGAAACATTTAGGCTGGCCTGCCTACGATCCATCCTGGGTTTAACCAGACTGGATTGTGTGAGGAGCTCACAAATCCTTGAAAGATCTGGGCAGGGTCCCATCAGTGAGCTCCTCCGGCAGGCAAGGCTGCGATGGCTGGGTCATGTAGCCCGCATGCCCAGCCACCGCATGCCGAAACAGCTTTTGTTTGGCCGGATTGAGGGGGCTAAGCGGGCGTGGCACGGGCTAGAGAAGAGATGGAGTGATGTGGTACAGGAGGACGTGGAGCTGAGTGGACTTGCCGATGACTGGTACCAGCGGTGTCAAGATCGGCCTCTGTGGAGGAGGCTCGTGAAGGATGCTACTGGGCAGTTGGAGGCAGTCGCCCTCCAACAACAACGGAGGGCGGAGGAGCGACGCTCACAACAGCGAGCGGAGCGCCGGGTGGCTAAAGCACAGCAGGTTGGCACAGTAGGGGGCACAGGTGGTGCATCAGCCAGTCATCTCAGTCAGTCGACCCGTGGCACCTGGGTCTGCCCCGTGACCTCCTGCCAGCGGGCGTTCGACACTTCACGTGGCCTCAGGGTGCACATAGCCTGGCACAAGCGTCGTGGTGACGTCACCGCCACTTAGTGGCGAATGGCGGTTGTTGTTGTTGTTGTACACTGTGTGTGTGTGACACTGTGTGACACTGTGTGTGTGTACACTGTGTGTGTGTGACACTGTGTGTACACTGTGTGTGTACAATATGTAGGTGTGTGACAGTGTGTGTGTCACTGTGTGGGGAGCGATAGTGTAGCGGTTAGCGCTACGCTGCGCTATGAACCTGGCGACCCGGGTTCGATTCCCGCTCACGGCCAACACCAGTGACGATTATCTGAACCGGTCCCGGGCCTCCCCTAGGTCGACTCAGCCTCAAATGAGTACCTGGTGCGGTGTGATAACATCGCCACTAGGGAGAGACAAAGGCGGTCGGGCGTGGTGCTGGCCACCCACCCCCTCGTGTACCGTTCTGGCCTTCATAGGTGCTCGCTAACAGCACTTGCCCCTACAGTCTGTTAAGGCTATATGGGGGATCTTTGTTTGTGTGACGCTGTGTGTGTCACTGTGTGTGTGTGACACTGTGTGTGTGACACTGTGTGTACACTGTGTGTGACACTGTGTGTACACTGTGTGTGACACTGTGTGACACTGTGTGTACACTGTGTGTGTGTGTACACTGTGTGTGTGACACTGTATGTACACACTGTGTGTGTGTGTGACACTGTGTACACTGTGTGTGTGTGTACACACACTGTGTGTGTGACACTGTGTACACTGTGTGTGTGTACACTGTGTGTGTGTGACACTGTGTGTACACTGTGTGTGTGTACAATGTGTAGGTGTACACTGTATGTGTGTGTGTACACTGTGTGTGTGTGTCACACTGTGTGACACTGTGTGACACTGTGTGTACACTGTGTGTACACTGTGTATGTGACACTGTGTGTGTGTGACACTGTGTGACACTGTGTGTGTGTACACTGTGTGTGTGTGACACTGTGTGTGTGTGTACACTGTGTGTGTGTGTGACACTGTGTGTGTGTGTACACTGTGTGTGTGTGTGACACTGTGTGTGTGACACTGTGTGTGTGACACTGTGTGTGTGTGTGTACAATGTGTAGGTGTACACTGTGTGTGTGTGTACACTGTGTGTGTGACACTGTGTGTGTGACACTGTGTGTGTGTGTGTGTACACAGTGTGTGTGACACTGTGTGACACTGTGTGTGTGTGACACTGTGTGTGTACACTGTGTGTGTGTGACACTGTGTGTGTGTGTGACACTGTGTGTGTGTACACTGTGTGTGTGACACTGTGTGTACACTGTGTGTACACTGTGTGTGAGACACTGTGTGTGACACTGTGTACACTGTGTAACACTGTGTGTGTACACTGTGTGTGTGTGTGTGACACTGTGTGACACTGTGTGTACACTGTGTGTACACTGTGTATGTGACACTGTGTGTGTGTGTGACACTGTGTGACACTGTGTGTGTGTGTACACTGTGTGTGTGTACACTGTGTGTACACTGTGTGTGTGTGTGTACACTGTGTGTGTGTACACTGTGTGTGTGTGTACACTGTGTGTGTGTGTGTACAATTTGTAGGTGTACACTGTGTGTACACTGTGTGTGTGTGACACTGTGTGTGTGTTTGACACTGTGTGACACTGTGTGTGTGTGTACACTGTGTGTGTGTGTGACACTGTGTGACACTGTGTGTGTGTGTACACTGTGTGTGTGACACTGTGTGTGTGACACTCTGTGACACTGTGTGTGTGTACAATGTGAAGGTGTACACTGTGTGTACACTGTGTGTGTGACACTGTGTGTGTGTGTACAATGTGTAGGTGTACATTCTGAGCAAGAAGGAGGGTGGTCGCCACACCCCGTTCATGACCAACTTCAAGCCCGTCATGTTCTCACTGACATGGGACATGACGTGCCGCGTCGCTCTCAAGGAGGGCAAAGTGAGAACACTCACACACAGACACACACACACACACAATCACACACAGACACACAGTGTATACACACAGACACACAGTGTATACACATAGACACAGTGTATACACACAGACACAGTGTATACACACACACTGTATACACACAGTGTATATATACACACACAGACACACACACAGACACACAGTGTATACACACACTCAGTGTATACACACACACACACTCACAGTGTATACACACACACACACACAGACACACAGACAGTGTATACACACACACTCACACACACACACAGACACACACAGACATACACACACACAGTGTATACACACACACAAACACTCACACAGACACACACACACAGACACACACACAGACACTCACACAGACACACTCACTCACACACAAGAGACACACACACAGAGACACACACACAGACACACACAGACTCACTACTCACACAGACACACACACATACACACTCACTCACACACAGACATACTCACACACAGACACACACATACTCACTCACACACAGACACACACACACACACTACTCACACAGACACACACTCACACACACACACATACACACGCACACACACACTCACACACACACGCACGCACACACTCACACACACAGAGACACACTCACACACCACACAAATTTACGTGCACATACACACAGACACACAGTGATTCCTAGTGTATAGTGTAATGTATAGAAGTGTAGTGTATAGAAGTGTAGTGTGTAGTATTGTATAGTAGTGTAGTGAATAGTGTAATGTATAGTAGTGTATAGTAGTGTAGTGAATAGTGTAATGTATAGTAGTGTATAGTGTAGTGTATAGTGTAGTGTATAGCATAGTGTATAGTAGTGTAGTGTATAGTGTAGTAGTGTATAGTAGTGTAGTGAATAGTAGTGTAGTGTATAGCATAGTGTATAGTAGTGTAGTGTATAGTGTAGTAGTGTATAGTAGTGTAGTGAATAGTAGTGTAGTATATACTAGTGTATAGTGTAGTGTATAGTAGTGTATAGTGGAGTAGTGTATAGTGTAGTGTATAGTAGTGTAGTATATAGTGTAGTGTTGTGTATAGTAGTGTAGTGTATAGTAGTGTAGTATATACTAGTGTATAGTGTAGTGTATAGTAGTGTAGTGTATCATAGTGTATAGTGTAGTGTGTAGTATAGTGTACAGTGTAGTGTATAGCAGTGTAGTGTATAGTGTAGTGTATAGTGGAGTAGTGTATAGTAGTGTAGTATATACTAGTGTGAATCTCTGTATATATCTCTCCGCGCGTGTGCGTTTCTGTGTGTGTGTGGCTGTACGTGCATCTCCGTGTGTGTGAATCTCTGTATATATCTCTCTCCGTGTGTGTGAATCTCTGTATATATCTGTGTGTGTGTGTGAATCTCTGTATATATCTCTCCGTGTGTGTGTGAATCTCTGTATATATCTCTCTGTGTGTGTGAATCTCTGTATATATCTCTCTGTGTGTGTGTGAATCTCTGTATATATATATCTCCGTGTGTGTGTGTGTGTGAATCTCTGTATATATCTTTCCGTGTGTGTGTGGGTGAATATCTGTATATATCTCTCTGTGTTACGTGTGTGAATCTCTGTATATATCTCTCCGTGTGTGTGTGTGTGGATCTCTGTATATATCTGTGTGTGTCTGTGTGAATCTCTGTATCTATCTCTCCGTGTGTGTGTGAATCTCTGTATATATCTCTCTGTGTGTGTGTGTGAGAATCTCTGTATACATCTCTCAGTGTGTGTGTGAATCTCTGTATATATCTGTGTGTGTGTGTGTGTGAATCTCTGTATATATCTCCGTGTGTGTGAATCTCTGCATATATCTCTCCGTGTGTGTGTGTGTAAATCTCTGTATATATCTGTGTGTGTGTGTGTGTAAATCTCTGTATATATCTCTCCGTGTGTGTGTGAATCTCTGTATACATCTCTCCGTGTGTGTGTGAATCTCTGTATATATCTCTGTGTGTGTGTGTGTGAATCTCTGTATACATCTCTCCGTGTGTGTGTGAATCTCTGTATATATCTCTGTGTGTGTGTGAATCTCTGTATATATCTGTGTGTGTGTGTGTGAATCTCTGTATATATCTCTCTGTGTGTGTGTGAATCTGTATATATCTCTCCGTGTGTGTACGTGTGTGAGAATCTCTGTATATATCTGTGTGTGTGTGTGTGTGAATCTCTGTATATGTCTCTCCGTGGGTGTGTGAATCTCTGTATATATCTCTCCGTGTGTGTGTGAATCTCTGTATATATCTCTCCGTGTGTGTGTGAATCTCTGTATATATCTCTCTGTGTGTGAATCTCTGTATATATCTCTCAGTGTGTGTGTGAATCTCTGTATATATCTCTGTGTGTGTGTGTGTGTGTGAATCTCTGTATATATCTCTCCGTGTGTGTGTGTGAAACTGTATATTTCTCTCCGTGTGCGTGTGAATCTCTGTATACATCTCTGTGTGTGCGTGTGAATCTCTGTATACATCTCTCCGTGTGTGTGTGAATCTCTGTATATATCTCTCCGTGTGTGTGTGGATCTCTGTATACATCTCTCCGTGTGTGTGTGAATCTCTGTATACATCTCTCCGTGTGTGTGTGAATCTCTGTATATATCTCTCCGTGTGTGTGTGAATCTCTGTATACATCTGTGTGTGTGTGAATCTCTGTATATATCTCTCCGTGTGTGTGTGAATCTCTGTATACATCTCTCCGTGTGTGTGTGAATCTCTGTATATATCTCTCCGTGTGTGTGTGGATCTCTGTATCTATCTGTGTGTGTGTGTGTGAATCTCTGTATATATCTCTCCGTGTGTGTGTGTGAATCTCTGTATATATCTGTGTGTGAGTGTGTGAATCTCTGTGTATATCTCTCCGTGTGTGTGTGAATCTCTGTATATATCTCTCCGTGTGTGTGTGTGAATCTCTGTATATATCTGTGTGTGTGTGTGAATCTCTGTTTATATCTCTCCGTGTGTGTGTGTGAATCTCTGTATATATCTCTGTGTGTGTGAATCTCTGTATATATCTCTCCGTGTGTGTGCGTTTCTGTGTGTGTGTGGCTGTATGTGCATCTCCGTGTGTGTGAATCTCTGTATATATCTCTCCGTGTGTGTGTGAATCTCTGTATATATCTCTCTCTGTGTGTGTGCATCTCTGTATATATCTCTGTGTGTGTGTATCTCTGTATATATCTCTCTGTGTGTGTGAATCTCTGTATATATTTTCCGTGTGTGTGAATCTCTATATATATCTCTCCGTGTGTGTGTGCGTGTGAATCTCTGTATATATCTCTCCGTGTGTGTGAATCTCTGTATACATCTCTCTGTGCGTGTGAATCTCTGTATACATCTCTCCGTGTGTGTGTGAATCTCTGTATACATCTCTCCGTGTGTGTGTGAATCTCTGTATATATCTCTGTGTGTGCGTGTGAATCTCTGTATACATCTCTCCGTGTGTGTGTGAATCTCTGTATATATCTCTGTGTGTGTGAATCTCTGTATATATCTCTGTGTGTGAATCTCTGTATATATCTCTCCGTGTGTGTGAATCTCTGTATATATCTCTCCGTGTGTGTGTGTGAATCTCTGTATACATCTCTCCGTGTGTGTGTGAATCTCTGTATACATCTCTCCGTGTGTGTGTGTGTGAATATCTCTGCATACATCTCTCTCCGTGTGTGTGTGTGAATATCTCTGCATACATCTCTCTCCGTGTGTGTGTGTGAATATCTCTGCATACATCTCTCTCCGTGTGTGTGTGTGTGAATATCTCTGCATACATCTCTCTCCGTGTGTGTGTGTGAATATCTCTGCATACATCTCTCTCCGTGTGTGTGTGTGAATATCTCTGCATACATCTCTCTCCGTGTGTGTGTGAATATCTCTGTATACATCTCTCTCTGTGTTACGCGTGTGAATATCTCTGCATACATCTCTGTGTGTGTGTGTGAATCTCTGTATACATCTCTCTCTCTCCGTGTGCGTGTGAATATCTCTGCATATCTCTCTCCGTGTGTGTGAATCTCTACATACATCTCTCTGTGTGTGTGTGAATATCTCTGTATACATCTCTCCGTGTGTGTGTGTGAATAACTCTGTATACATCTCTCCGTGTGCGTGTGTGAATATCTCTGCATACATCTGTGTGTGTGTGTGTGTGACTCTGTATATATCTCTGTGTGTGTGTGTGAATCTCTGTGTGTGAATATCTCTGTATACATCTCTCCGTGTGTGTGAATCTTTGTATATATCTCTGTGTGTGTGAATCTCTGTGTGTGAATATCTCTGCATACATCTCTCCGTGTGTGTGTGTGAATCTCTGTATACATCTGTGTGTGTGTGTTTTTTGAATCTATGTGTGTGAATATCTCTGCATACATCTCTCTCTGTGTGTGTGTGAATATCTCTGTATACATCTCTGTGTGTGTGTATCTCTGTATATATCTGTGTGTGTGTGTGAATCTCTGCATACATCTCTGTGTGTGTGTGTGAATCTCTGTGTGTGAATATCTCTGTATACATCTCTCCATGTGTGTGTGTGTGAATCTTTGTATACATCTCTCTGTGTGTGTTACGTGTGTGAATCTCTGTATATATCTCTCCGTGTGTGTATGTGTGTGTGTGAATATCTCTGTATACATCTCTCCGTGTGTGTGTGTGAATCTCTGTATACATCTCTCCGTGTGTGTATGTGTGTGTGAATATCTCTGTATACATCTCTCCGTGTGTGTGTGTGTGTGAATATCTCTGTATACATCTCTCCGTGTTACGTGTGTGAATATCTCTGCATACATCTCTCCGTGTGTGTGTGAATCTCTGTGTGTGAATATCTCTGTATACATCTCTCTCCGTGTGTGTGTGTGTGTGAGAATCTCTGCATACATCTCTCCGTGTTACGTGTGTGAATCTCTCTGCATACATCTCTCTGTGTGTGTGTGAATATCTCTGCATACATCTCTCTCCATGTGTGTGTGAATATCTCTGTATATATATCTCTGTGTGTGTGTGTGAATCTCTGTGTGTGAATATCTCTGCATACATCTCTCTCCGTGTGTGTATGTGTGTGTGTGAATCTCTCTGCGTTCATCTCTTTCACCGTGTGTGTGTGAATATCTCTGCATACATCTCTCTCTCCATGTGTGTGTGAATATCTCTGTATATATATATCTGTGTGTGTGTGTATCTCTGTATATATCTGTGTGTGTGTGCGTGTGAATCTCTGCATACATCTCTGTGTGTGTGTGTGAATATCTCTGCATACATCTCTCTTCATGTGTGTGTGAATATCTCTGCATACATCTCTCTGTGCGTGTGAATCTCTGTATACATCTCTCTCCGTGTTATGTGTGTGAATATCTCTGCATACATCTCTGTGTGTGTGTGTGTGAATCTCTCTGCATACATCTCTCTCCATGTGTGTGTGTGTGAATCTTTGTATACATCTGTGTGTGTGTGTGAATCTCTGTGTGTGAATATCTCTGCATACATCTCTCTCCGTGTGTGTGTGTGTGAATCTCTGTATATATCTCTCCGTGTGTGTGAATCTCTGTATATATCTCTGTGTGTGTGTGTGAATCTCTGTGTGTGAATATCTCTGCATACATCTCTCCGTGTGTGTGTGTATCTCTGTATACATCTCTCTCCATGTGTGTGTGTGAATATCTCTGTATATATCTCTGTGTGTGTGTGTGTGAATCTCTGCATACATCTCTCTGTGTGTGTGTGTGTGTGAATCTCTGTATATATCTCTGTGTGTGTGTGACTCTGTATATATCTCTGTGTGTGTGTGAATCTCTCTGTGTGTGAATCTCTCTGCGTACATCTGTGTGTGTGTGTGAATCTCTGTATATATCTCTCTGTGTGTGTGTGTGTGTGAATCTCTCTGTGTGTGTGAATCTCTCTGCGTACACATCTCATCATCATCATCATCTCAATCTCTCTCCCCGCGCGCGTCTCCGCGCGTCCCCGCCCCGCCCCCTCGCAGGAGATGGTGATGCCGGGCGAGGACACGAGCCTGCTGCTGACGCTCCGCCGCCCGGTGGTGCTGGAGAAGGGCCAGCGGTTCACGCTGAGGGATGGCAACAAGACCATTGGCACGGGCATTGTCACGGGCCTGCTGCAGGCTTCGCCTGAGGACATCGCTGCCGTAGACTGAGAGGCCCCCAAGGCGGCGGCAGGACGGTCTGGGGCCTGGTCCAGGCTTTGCACTGATGACGTGGGCGCCGTGGTGTGGAGGCTCGAAGCATCGTCAGCGTCGTCAGCGTCGTCAGCGTCGTCATCATCATCGTCGTCATCATCGTCGTCATCGTCGTCATCGTCGTCATCATCGTCATCATCATCGTCATCATCGTCGTCATCATTGTCATCATCGTCGTCATCATCGTCGTCATCATAGTCGTCATTGTCGTCATCATCGTCATCATCGTCATCATCGTCGTCATCGTCGTTGTCATCATCGTCATCATCATCGTCATCATTGTCATCATCGTCGTCATCGTCGTCATCATCGTCATCATCATCGTCATCATCGTCGTCATCATTGTCATCATCGTCGTCATCATCGTCGTCATCATAGTCGTCATTGTCATCATAGTCGTCATTGTCGTCATCATCGTCATCATTGTCATCATCGTCGTCATCGTCGTCGTCATCATCGTCATCATCGTCGTCATCATTGTCATCATCGTCGTCATCATCGTCGTCATCGTCGTCATCATCGTCATCATCGTCGTCATCATCGTCATCATTGTCATCATCGTCGTCATCATCGTCGTCATCATCGTCATCATTGTCATCATCGTCGTGAGCGTGTAGAAAAATCTCCCCGTGTCTCTCCCCCCCATCTCCCCCCGCCCATCTCCCCCCCCCCCATCTCCCCCCCCCATCTCCCCCCCCCCATCTCCCCCCCCCCATCTCCCCCCCCCCATCTCCCCCCCCCATCTCCCCCCGCCATCTCCCCCCCCCATCCCCCCCCCCCCCATCTCCCCCCCCATCTCCCCCCCCCATCTCCACCCCCATCTCCCCCCATCTCCCCCCCCCATCTCCCCCCCCCATCTCCCCCCCCATCTCCCCCCCCCATCTCCCCCCATCTCCCCCCCCATCTCCCCCCCCATCTCCCCCCCCCATCTCCACCCCCATCTCCCCGTGTCTCTCTGTGTGGAGCGGTGGTGGCGGTGGTGGCGGTGGTGGTGGTGGTGATGGTGGTGGTGATGGTGGTTGGGTGGTGATGATGGTGTTGGCGGTATCGGGGACTGTGTACTGGATGTGCCGCTGTACTGGCGGTTACCGCTTCACCCGTGTTCGTGTTTTTGTATTCGCTTCAATAAACTCGATCTGTCGACGCACAGACAGACAAATGTCTCAGTCAGTCAGTCAGTCACTCACTCACCCACTCACTCACTCACCCACTCACTCACTCACTCACCCACTCACTCACCCACTCACTCACACACCCACTCACCCACTCACTCACCCACCCACTCACACAGACAAATGTCTCAGTCAGTCACTCGCTCAGTCACTCACTCACCCACTCACCCACTCACTCATCCACTCACCCACTCACTCACTCACCCACTCACCCACTCACCCACCCACTCACTCACCCACTCACTCACCCACTCAGACAAATGTCTCAGTCACTCGCTCAGTCAGTCAGTCACTCACTCACTCACCCACTCACTCACCCACTCACTCACTCACCCACTCACTCACTCACCCACTCACTCACCCACTCACTCACACACCCACTCACTCACCCACTCACTCACCCACTCACTCACTCACCCACTCACTCACTCACCCACCCACTCACCCACTCACTCACCCACCCACTCACACAGACAAATGTCTCAGTCAGTCACTCGCTCAGTCACTCACTCACCCACTCACCCACTCACTCATCCACTCACCCACTCACTCACTCACCCACTCACCCACTCACCCACCCACTCACTCACCCACTCACTCACCCACTCAGACAAATGTCTCAGTCACTCGCTCAGTCAGTCAGTCACTCACCCACTCACTCACCCACTCACTCACCCACTCACTCACCCACTCACCCACTCACTCACCCACTCACACAGACAAATGTCTCAGTCAGTCACTCAGTCAGTCACTCACTCACTCACCCACTCACCCACTCACACAGACAAATGTCTCAGTCACTCACTCACTCACCCACTCACTCACACACCCACTCACTCACTCACCCACTCACTCACTCACCCACCCACTCACTCACCCACTCACTCACACACCCACTCACTCACTCACCCACTCACTCACCCACTCACTCACTCACCCACTCACTCACCCACCCACTCACTCACCCACCCACTCACACAGACAAATGTCTCAGTCAGTCACTCGCTCAGTCACTCACTCACCCACTCACCCACTCACTCACCCACTCACCCACTCACTCACCCACTCACCCACCCACTCACTCACCCACTCACTCACCCACTCAGACAGATGTCTCAGTCACTCGCTCAGTCAGTCAGTCACTCACCCACTCACTCACCCACTCACTCACCCACTCACTCACCCACTCACACAGACAAATGTCTCAGTCACTCAGTCAGTCACTCACTCACTCACCCACTCACACAGACAAATGTCTCAGTCAGTCACTCACTCACCCACTCACCCACTCACACAGACAAATGTCTCAGTCAGTCACTCGCTCAGTCACTCACTCACTCACACAGACAAATGTCTCACCCACTCACACAGACAAATGTCTCACTCAGTCAGTCACTCAGTGACTCAGTGAGTCAGTCACCCACTCACCCACTCACAAAGACAAATGTCTCACCCACTTACCCACTCACCCACCCACTTACCCACCCACTCACCCACTCACTCAGTCACCCCCCACTCACTCACCGACTCACCCACCCACTCACCCACCCACTCACCCACTCACAAAGACATGTCTCATGCACTCACCCACCCACTCACCCACACACTCAGTTACCCACCCACTCACCCACTCACTTACCCACTCACCCACTCACTTACCCACTCACCCACTCACCCTTCCACTCACCCACTCACCCACCCACTCACTCACCCACCCTCCCACTCACCCACTCGCTCACTCACCCACCCATTCACCCACTCACCCACCCACTCACCCACTCACCCACCCACTCCCTCACTCACCCACCCACTCACCCACCTATTCACCCACTCACTCACCCACCCACTCGCTCACTCACTCACCCACTCACCCACCTACTCACCCACCCACTCACCTACCCACTCGCCCACTAACCCACTCAATTACCCACTCACTCTACCACCCACTCACAAAGACAAATGTCTCACCCGTGTCGCTTCTGCCAGTGACTGTAGGGCAAGTGCTGTCAGCGAGTAGCACCGCCTATGAAGGCTACCGGCACTGTGGCTACACACAGAGGGGGTGGTGTGGACAGCTACACCACCACCACTACAGCTACACCACCACTACAGCTACACCACCACCACAGCTAGACCACCACCACCACAGCTACACCACCACCACCACAGCTACACCACCACCACAGCTAGACCACCACCACCACAGCTACACCACCACCACCACAGCTACACCACCACTACAGCTACACCACCACTACAGCTACACCACCACCACCACAGCTACACCACCACAGCTACACCAACACACAGCTACACCACCACAGCTACACCAACACACAGCTACACCAACACACAGCTACACCACCACCACTACAGCTACACCACCACCACAGCTACACCACCACCACAGCTACACCACTACAGCTACACCACCACCACAGCTACACCACCACCACCACAGCTACACCACCATAACAGCTACACCGCCACCACCACCACCACAGCTACACCGCCACCACCACCACAGCTACACCACCGCTACAGCTACCCCACCACCACAGCTACACCACCACAGCTACACCACAGCTACACCACCACCACAGCTACACCACCACCACAGCTACACCACCACAGCTACACCAGGTTACTCATTTGAGGCTGAGTCGACCTAGAGAAGGGCCAGGACCGGTTCAGAAAATCGTCACTGCTGGTAGCGCTAACCACTGCACCACCACTCCCCACACATACAGTGCGCTAACCACTGCACCATCACTCCCCACACACACACAGTGCGCTAACCACTGCACCACCACTCCCCCCACACACACAGTGCGCTAACCACTGCACCACCACTCCCCCACACACACAGTGCGCTAACCACTGCACCATCACTCCCCACACACACACAGTGCGCTAACCACTGCACCACCACTCCCCCCACACACACAGTGCGCTAACCACTGCACCACCACTCCCTCCACTCACAGTGCGCTAACCACTGCACCACCACTCCCCACACACAGTGCGCTAACCACTGCACCACCACTCCCCCCCCACACACACAGTGCGCTAACCACTGCACCACCACTCCCCACTCAGTGCGCTAGCCACTGCACCACCACTCCCCCCACACACACACAGTGCGCTAACCACTGCACCACCACTCCCCCCACACACACACACAGTGCGCTAACCACTGCACCACCACTCCTCACACACAGTGCGCTAACCACTGCACCACCACTCCCCACTCACAGTGCGCTAACCACCCAGACTGGCTCATAGCAAAATGACGCCAAGCCTTTTCGTCAAGTGTAATGATGTCATTGCTCTCTCGTCGAGTCCAATGACGCCATCGCGGTATCAACTTCGGCGTTATGGCGTCACTACGCTAGCCCCGCCCGGTGGCTATGACGTCACCGCGCGATCTCGGGAACTTCGTGCGTGATGACGTCGTCCGCGCGCAGTGATCCGTGCGTGATGACGCCACCGCGCCACTTTAAACGTCCGTGCGTGATGACGTCCGCCCGTGTGTTCCGTGCGTGATGACGCCACCGCGCCACTTTGAACGCCCGTGCGTGAAGACGTTGACCTAGGTGTTCCGTGCGTGGTGACGTCACCCCCTCCCTCCCCCCGGTGGCGGGAGAGGCCTAGGATACGAGAGGGCTTCCGTTGTCGCGCTGGGCCTCGGAGGGGTTACGACTTTTTATTTATTTTTATCGATTTTCTTTTTAGTTAGTTTAACAACAAAACAAACGACAATTGAAACATAAACTTGGACGTTCGCCGCAACTTTAAAGAGGGAAACCCCAGCAGGTTAGTTGTCATTATTATCAATATAACAAATACAAAAATCCCCTCAGAGAAAGTTTAACGTGGTTTAAATTTTTTTTTTTAAACCAATCTCTGAGGTGGCGACGGTTGGGGTGATGTTTGATTTAAATGTCTCTCTTATAAATGTTTTTTATACGTATAAAGCAAGGGGGGGAGAGAATCGTTGAAATAGTCGACGCGAAATCGATAAACTTAATCGATTTGTTTCTATCCTTCCACGGATCCGTTATACGTTAAGGGGCTGTTCGTTTCAAAACTTGCCGAAGTTAAACACTTGTTTTGTGTGTTTTTGTGTTAAATGTTAACGCGAGAGGGGCTTTTATTGAAGAGTTAACGGGCGATCGCGGTAGCGGTCGTGGTGGAGTTACCTCATCTAGCAGTGGAGTTACCCTCACACAACAGTGGAGTTACCCTCATCCAGCAGTGGAGTTACCCTCACACAACAGTGGAGTTACCCTCACACAACAGTGGAGTTATCCTCACACAACAGTGGAGTTACCCTCACACAGCAGTGGAGTTACCCTCACACAGCAGTGGAGTTACCTCACAACAGTGGAGTTACCCTCACACAACAGTGGAGTTACCCTCACACAACAGTGGAGTTACCTCATCCAGCAGTGGAGTTACCCTCACACAACAGTGGAGTTACCTCATCTAGCAGTGGAGTTACCCTCACACAACAGTGGAGTTACCTCATCTAGCAGTGGAGTTACCCTCACACAACAGTGGAGTTACCCTCACACAACAGTGGAGTTACCCTCATTCAGCAGTGGAGTTACCCTCACAACAGTGGAGTTACCCTCACAACAGTGGAGTTACCCTCACACAACAGTGGAGTTACCCTCATCTAGCAGTGGAGTTACCCTCACACAACTGTGGAGTTACCCTCACACAACAGTGGAGTTACCCTCATCTAGCAGTGGAGTTACCCTCACACAACAGTGGAGTTACCCTCACACAACAGTGGAGTTACCCTCACACAACAGTGGAGTTACCCTCACACAACAGTGGAGTTACCCTCATCCAGCAGTGGAGTTACCCTCACACAACAGTGGAGTTACCCTCACACAACAGTGGAGTTACCCTCACAACAGTGGAGTTACCCTCACACAACAGTGGAGTTACCCTCACACAACAGTGGAGTTACCCTCACACAACAGTGGAGTTACCCTCACACAACAGTGGAGTTACCCTCACACAACAGTGGAGTTACCCTCACACAACAGTGGAGTTACCCTCACACAACAGTGGAGTTACCCTCACACAACAGTGGAGTTACCCTCATCCAGCAGTGGAGTTACCCTCACACAACTGTGGAGTTACCCTCAACCAACAGTGGAGTTACCCTCATCTAGCAGTGGAGTTACCCTCACACAACAGTGGAGTTACCCTCACACAACAGTGGAGTTACCCTCACACAACAGTGGAGTTACCCTCACACAGCAGTGGAGTTACCCTCACGCAACAGTGGAGTTACCCTCATCCAGCAGTGGAGTTACCATCACACAACAGTGGAGTTACCCTCACACAACAGTGGAGTTACCCTCATCCAGCAGTGGAGTTACCCTCATCCAGCAGTGGAGTTACCCTCATCCAGCAGTGGAGTTACCCTCACACAACAGTGGAGTTACCCTCATCCAGCAGTTGAGTTACCCTCACACAACAGTGGAGTTACCCTCACACAACAGTGGAGTTACCCTCACACAACAGTGGAGTTACCCTCATCTAGCAGTGGAGTTACCCTCACACAACAGTGGAGTTACCCTCACACAGCAGTGGAGTTACCCTCACACAACAGTGGAGTTACCCTCACACAACAGTGGAGTTACCTCATCCAGCAGTGGAGTTACCCTCACACAACAGTGGAGTTACCCTCACACAACAGTGGAGTTACCCTCACACAACAGTGGAGTTACCTCATCCAGCAGTGGAGTTACCCTCACACAACAGTGGAGTTACCCTCACACAACAGTGGAGTTACCCTCACACAACAGTGGAGTTACCCTCACACAACAGTGGAGTTATCTCATCCAGCAGTGGAGTTACCCTCACACAACAGTGGAGTTACCCTCACACAACAGTGCAGTTACCCTCATCCAGCAGTGGAGTTACCCTCACACAACAGTGGAGTTACCCTCACACAACAGTGGAGTTACCCTCACACAACAGTGCAGTTACCCTCATCCAGCAGTGGAGTTACCCTCACACAACAGTGGAGTTACCCTCACACAACAGTGGAGTTACCCTCACACAACAGTGGAGTTACCCTCATCTAGCAGTGGAGTTACCCTCACACAACAGTGGAGTTACCCTCACACAACAGTGGAGTTACCCTCACACAACAGTGGAGTTACCCTCATCCAGCAGTGGAGTTACCCTCACACAACAGCGGAGTTACCCTCATCTAGCAGTGGAGTTACCCTCACACAACAGTGGAGTTACCCTCACACAACAGTGGAGTTACCCTCACACAACAGTGGAGTTACCCTCACATAGCAGTGGAGTTACCCTCATACAACAGTGGAGTTACCCTCACACAACAGTGGAGTTACCTCATCTAGCAGTGGAGTTACCCTCACACAACAGTGGAGTTACCCTCACACAACAGTGGAGTTACCCTCATCCAGCAGTGGAGTTACCCTCACACAACAGTGGAGTTACCCTCACACAGCAGTGGAGTTACCCTCACACAACTGTGGAGTTACCCTCACACAACAGTGGAGTTACCCTCACAACAGTGGAGTTATCTTCATCCAGCAGTGGAGTTACCCTCATCTAGCAGTGGAGTTACCCTCATCTAGCAGTGGAGTTACCCTCACACAACAGTGGAGTTACCCTCACACAACAGTGGAGTTACCCTCACACAACAGTGGAGTTACCCTCACACAACAGTGGAGTTACCCTCACACAACAGTGGAGTTACCCTCACACAACAGTGGAGTTACCCTCATCCAGCAGTGGAGTTACCCTCACACAACAGTGGAGTTACCCTCATCCAGCAGTGGAGTTACCCTCACACAACAGTGGAGTTACCCTCATCCAGCAGTGGAGTTACCCTCACACAACAGTGGAGTTACCCTCACAACAGTGGAGTTACCCTCATCTAGCAGTGGAGTTACCTCACACAACAGTGGAGTTACCCTCACACAACAGTGGAGTTACCCTCACACAACAGTGGAGTTACCCTCATCCAGCAGTGCAGTTACCCTCACACAACAGTGGAGTTACCCTCACTTACCCCACCCTCTCTCTCCCTCTCCGCAGGTTCTGGTGGTTGATTAGTGGGGGGGGAGGGCGGTGTTCCCATTGGCTGTCCGATTAGTGGGGGGGGGCAATGGTGGATTAGTGGGGGGCTCCCAATGGCTGTCTGGTTAGCGGTGGGGGGGTGGTGGGCGGGTGGTCCGGTGGTTCATTAGTGGGGGGAGGGGGTGAATCCCAGTGGCTGCCTAGCAGAGAACCCTCCCCACCACCACCACCCTCCCCACCACCACCACCCACCACCACCACCCTCCCCACCACCACCCTCCCCACCACCACCAACCTCCCCACCACCACCACCCTCCCCACCACCACCACCCTCCTCACCACCACCACCCTCCCCACCACCACCACCCTCCCCACCACCACCACCACCCTCCCCACCACCACCACCCTCCCCACCACCACCACCACCCTCCCCACCACCACCACCCTCCCCAAAACCACCACCACCACCCTCCCCACCACCACCACCCTCCCCACCACCACCACCCTCCCCACCACCACCACCCTCCCCACCACCACCACCCTCCCCACCATCCTCCCCACCACCACCACCCTCCCCCCCACCACCACCACCCTCTCCACCACCACCCTCTCCACCACCACCACCACCCTCCCCACCACCACCACCCTCCCCACCACCACCCTCACCACCACCACCCGCACCACCACCACCACACTCCCCACCACCACCACCTCCCCCCACCACCACCACCACCACCCTCTCCACCACCACCCCCTCCATCCTCTCCACCACCCTCTCCACCACCACCACCCTCTCCACCACCACCACCACCACCCTCTCCACCACCACCACCACCCTCCCCACCACCACCACCCTCCCCAAAACCACCACCACCACCCTCCCCACCACCACCACCCTCCCCACCACCACCCTCACCACCACCACCCTCCCCACCACCACCACACTCCCCACCACCACCCCCCCCCCCCACCACCACCACCACCACCCTCTCCACCACCACCCTCTCCACCACCACCCTCTCCACCACCACCACCCTCTCCACCACCACCACCACCACCCTCTCCACCACCACCACCACCCTCTCCACCACCACCACCACCACCCTCTCCACCACCACCACCACCCTCTCCACCACCACCACCACCCTCCCCACCACCACCACCCTCCCCACCACCACCACCACCACCCTCCCCCCACCACCAATGCCGTCACCTGGACGTCTGACGTCGCTGGTGGACGGCACGGGTCCCCGCGTGGGTCCGGAGGGTGCCGAGGTGGTGGGTGGGGGGGTTGTGGGGGGGGTGGTGGTGGTGGTGGGGGGGGCGGCGGGTGATGCCCCCCACCACCACCACCAACCCCCCGCCCACCACGAGCAGGTGTTTGGTGAGGAGGTGGACCCAGAGCAAGTGTACTACGACCTCCATCACGTCGGCCACGGAAACTTTGGCTCCGTCCACTTTGTGAGCACCCCACCGGGCGGGGGCCAGGGGGCAGGGGGGGGTGGGGGGTCCTGCACTATGATCATCATCAGCGCCATGATCATCATCAGCGCCATGATCATCATCGGCGCCATGATCATCATCGGCGGCACGATCATCATCAGCGGCACGGTCATCATCAGCGCCACGATCATCATCAGCACCATGATCATCATCAGCGCTATGATCATCGGCGCCATGATCATCATCGGCGCCATGATCATTATCGGCGGCACGATCATCATCATCACCAGCACCATGATCATCATCAGCGGTACGATCATCACCATCAGCCACCACCACACTCACCACCACCACCACACTCGCCACCACACTCACCACCACACTCGGCACCAGCACACTCACCACCACCACCACCACCACCACACTCACCACCACCACACTCACCACCACACTCACCACCACCACACTCACCACCACACTCACCACCACACTCACCACCACACTCACCACCACCACACTCACCACCACCACACTCACCACCACACTCACCACCACCACACTTACCACCACACTCACCACCACACTCACCACCACACTCACCACCAGCACGACCACAGTCACCACCACCACACTCACCACCAGCAACGCCACACTCACCATCACCACACTCAGCACCACACTCACCACCAGCAACACCACACTCACCATCACCACACTCACCACCACACTCGCCACCAGCAACACCAAACTCACCATCACCACACTCAGCACCACACTCACCACCAGCAACACCACACTCACCATCACCACACTCACCACCACACTCACCACCACACTCACCACCACACTCACCACCACACTCAGCACCACCACCACACTCACCACCACACTCAGCACCACACTCACCACCACACTCACCACCACACACACCACCACCACCACACTCACCACCACACTCACCACCACACTCAGCACCACATTCACCACCACACTCACCACCACCACACTCACCACCACACACACCACCACCACCACACTCACCACCACACTCACCACCACACTCAGCACCACATTCACCACCACACTCACCACCACCACACTCACCACCACACACACCACCACCACCACACTCACCACCACACTCACCACCACACTCAGCACCACCACCACACTCAGCACCACACTCACCACCACCACCACACTCACCACCACACTCACCACTACCACCACACTCACCACTCCCACCACCACACTCACCACCACACTCACCACCAAACTCACCACCACCACACTCACCACTACCACCACACTCACCACCACCACCACACTCACCACTACCACCACACTCACCAACAACAACAACCGCCATTCGCCACTAAGTGGCGGTGACGTCACCACGACGCTTTGTGCCAGGCCACGTGCACCTTGAGGCCACGGGAAGTGTCGAAGACACTCACCACCACCACAGTCACCACCAACACGACCACCACACTCACCAACACTGCCACCTCAGTCACCATCACACTCACCACCAGCACGACCACAGTCACCACCACCACCACCACACTCACCACCAACAACACCACACTCACCACCAGCAACACCACACTCACCATCACCACACTCACCATCACCACACTCACCATCACCACACTCACCAGAACCACACTCAGCACCACACTCACCACCAGCAACACCACACTCATCATCACCACACTCACCACCAGCAACACCACACTCACCATCACCACACTCAGCACCACACTCAACACCAACAACACCACACTCACCATCACCACACTCACCAGCACCACACTCAGCACCACACTCACCACCAGCAACACCACACTCACCACCACAAATACCACCACACTCACCACCACCACAGTCACCACCACAGTCACCACCACGAATGCCACCACACTCACCACCACCACCACAGTCACCTTCACCACTACCACCACAGACACCACCACTTCCACCACACTCACCACCAGCAACACCACACTCACCATCACAATCACCACCACCACCACAGATACCACCACACTCACCACAGTCATCACCACAGTCACCACTACCACCACAGACACCACCACTTCCACCACACTCACCACCAGCAACACCACACTCACCATCACAATCACCACCACACTCACCACCACCACCACTGTCACCACCACCACAAATACCACCACACTCACCACAGTCATCACCACAGTCACCACTACCACCACAGACACCACCACTTCCACCACACTCACCACAGTCATCACCACAGTCACCACCACCACTGTCACCACCACCACAAATACCACCACACTCACCACAGTCATCACCACAGTCACCACCACCACCACAGACACCACCACTTCCACCACACTCACCACCAGCAACACCACACTCACCATCACAATCACCACCACACTCACCACCACCACCACCACAGTCACCACCACCACCGCAGTCACCACCACAAATACCACCACACTCACCACCACCACAGTCACCACCACCACAAATACCACCACAGTCATCACCACAGTCACCACTACCACCACAGACACCACCACTTCCACGACACTCACCACCAGCAACACCACACTCACCATCACAATCACCACCACCACCACAGTCACCACCACCACCGCAGTCACCACCACAAATACCACCACACTCACCACAGTCATCACCACAGTCACCACCACCACTACCACCACCACTACCACCACCACTACCACCACAGACACCACCACACTCACCACCAGCACCCTGGTGGTTGTGGTTGTTGATAGTGGTTGTTGTCATTGTTGTGGTTGAGGCTCGGCATGCTGATACCTGTGAGATCGTCGCCATCAAGAAGATGAACCTCACCAGTGGGGGGAGACGCAGCGCTGAGGTACGGGGGTGAGACACGGGGGGAGAGACACGGGGGGAGAGACACGGGGGGAGAGACACGGGGGGGTGAGACACGGGGGAGAGACACGGGGGGTGAGACACGGGGGGTGAGACACGGGGGGAGAGACACGGGGGGTGAGACCCGGGGGGTGAGACACGGGGGGTGAGACACGGGGGGTGAGACACGGGGGAGAGACACGGGGGGTGAGACACGGGGGGTGAGACACGGGGGGTGAGACACGGGGGGTGAGACACGGGGGTGAGACACGGGGGGAGAGACACGGGGGGAGAGACACGGGGGGTGAGACACGGGGGGTGAGACACGGGGGGTGAGACACGGGGGTGAGACACGGGGGAGAGACACGGGGGGTGAGACACGGGGGAGAGACACGGGGGGTGAGACACGGGGGGTGAGACACGGGGGGTGAGACACGGGGGGTGAGACACGGGGGAGAGACATGGGGGTGAGACACTGGGGGGAGAGACACGGGGGGTGAGACATGGGGGTGAGACACGGGGGGAGAGACACGGGGGTGAGACACGGGGGGTGAGACACGGGGGTGAGACACGGGGGTGTGACACGGGGGGAGAGACACGGGGGAGAGACATGGGGGTGAGACACTGGGGGGTGAGACACTAGGGGGTGAGACACTGGGGGTGAGACACGGGGGGTGTGATATGGGGGTGAGACACGGGGGGTGAGACACGGGGGGTGAGACACGGGGGGTGAGACACGGGGGGTGAGACACGGGGGAGAGACATGGGGGTGAGACACTGGGGGGTGAGACACGGGGGAGAGACATGGGGGTGAGACACTGGGGGGTGAGACACGGGGGAGAGACATGGGGGTGAGACACTGGGGGGTGAGACACGGGGGGTGAGACACGGGGGAGACACGGGGGGTGAGACACGGGGGGTGAGACACGGGGGGGTGAGACACGGGGTGTGAGACACGGGGTGAGACACGGGGGATAAGACACGGGGGGGTGAGACACGGGGGGTGAGACACGGGGGGGTGAGACACGGGGGGTGAGACACGGGGGAGAGACATGGGGGTGAGACACTGGGGGGTGAGACACGGGGGGGTGAGACACGGGGGGTGAGACACGGGGGGTGAGACACGGGGGGTGAGACATGGGGGTGAGACACGGGGGAGAGACACGGGGGGTGAGACACGGGGGGTGAGACACGGGGGGTGAGACACGGGGGGAGAGACACGGGGGGTGTGACACGGGGGGTGAGACACGGGGGGTGAGACACGGGGGGGTGAGACACGGGGGGTGAGACACGGGGGAGAGACACGGGGGGTGAGACACGGGGGGTGAGACACGGGGGGGTGAGACACGGGGGGGTGAGACACGGGGGGTGAGACACGGGGGGTGAGACACGGGGGAGAGACATGGGGGTGAGACACTGGGGGGAGAGACACGGGGGGTGAGACATGGGGGTGAGACACGGGGTGTGAGACACGGGGGGTGAGACACGGGGGGTGAGACACTGGGGGGTGAGACACGGGGGGAGAGACACTGGGGGGTGAGACACGGGGGGTGAGACGGGGGTGAGACACGGGGGGTGAGACACGGGGGGTGAGACACGGGGGGTGAGACACGGGGGGTGAGACACGGGGGGAGAGACACGGGGGGTGAGACAGGGGGGGTGAGACACGGGGGGTGAGACACGGGGGGTGAGACACGGGGGGTGAGACACGGGGGGAGAGACACGGGGGGTGAGACAGGGGGGGAGAGACACGGGGGGTGAGACACGGGGGAGAGACATGGGGGTGAGACACGGGGGGTGAGACACGGGGTGAGACACGGGGGGTGAGACACGGGGTGAGACACGGGGGATAAGACACGGGGGGGTGAGACACGGGGGGTGAGACACGGGGGGTGAGACACGGGGGGTGAGACACGGGGGGTGAGACACGGGGGGTGAGACACGGGGGGTGAGACACGGGGGGTGAGACACGGGGGGTGAGACACGGGGGGTGAGACACGGGGGGTGAGACACGGGGGGTGAGACACAGAGGCTTGCGGAGTCCCAATGTTGTTTCAGGAAAGGGCGGTCCTGCACAGATGCCATATTCTCTGTCCGTCTGCTGCAGCAGAAGTGTCGGGAATTCCAACAAGACCTACATCTCCGCTTTATTGACCTGGTCAAGGCACTATGATACCATCAGTAGGCCTGGGCTCTGGGTTGTTCTTAGTGCACGACGCTTCGAGTCTTCTCGGCCACGGTCATGCCCTCCCTTCTCTACACTTGCGAAATGTGGACCCCACCCCCCCCCCCCTAATGGAACATCTTCGTCGGTTAGAAACATTTGGGCTGGCCTGCCTACGATCCATCCTGGGTTTAACCTGCAGGCTTGGATCGTGTGAGGCGCTCACAAATCCTTGAAAGATCTGGGCAAGGTCCCATCGGTGAGCTCCTCCGGCAGGCAAGGCTGCGATGGCTGGGTCATGTAGCCCACATGCCCAGCCACCGCATGCCGAAACAGCTTTTGTTCGGCCGCATAGAGCGGGCTAAACGGGCGCAGCACGGGCTAGAGAAGAGTGGTACAGGAGGACGTGGAGCTGAGTGGACTTGCCGATGACCGGTACCAGCGGTGTCAAGATCGGCCTCTGTGGAGGAGGCTCGTCAAGGACTCTGCTGGGCAGTTGGAGGCAATCGCCCTCCAGCAACAACGGAGGGCGGAGGAGCGACGCTCACAACAACGAGCAGAGCGCCGGGTGGCTAAAGCACAGCGGGTTGGCACAGTAGGGGGCACAGGTGGTGCATCAGCCAGTCATCTCAGTCATCTCAGTCAGTCGACCCGTGGCACCTGCTGGGTCTGCCCCGTGACCTCCTGCCAGCGGGCGTTCGACACTTCACGTGGCCTCAGGGTGCACGTGGCCTGGCACAAGCGTCGTGGTGACGTCACCGCCACTTAGTGGCGAATGGCGGTTGTTGTTGTAGTGTGTGTGTGTGTGCGTGCTTGTGTAGCGGTGGAGAGACACAGTAAAGGAGATTGAGCTTCTGAAGAGGTTGAATCACCCCAACGTCGTTGCATACAGAGCAGCCCACCTCGTTTGCTCCACAGTGTGGGTGAGACAACATCACAACATCATCACAACATCACAATATCAACAACATCATCACAACATCATCACAACATCAACAACATCATCACAACATCATCACAACATCAACAACATCATCACAACATCATCACAACATCAACAACATCATCACAACATCATCACAACATCAACAACATCATCACAACATCATCACAACATCAAAACATCATCACAACATCATCACAACATCATCAACAACATCACCACCATCACCACCGTAATAATCATCACCACCATCATCATCATCACCACCATCACCACCGAAATAATCATCATCACCACCATCATCATCACCACCATCACCACCGTAATAATCATCACCACCACCATCATCATCATCATCACTACCATCATTGCCGTCATCACAACATCACCACCATCATCATCACTACCACCATTATCACCACCACCATCATCACCACCACCACCACCACCATCATCACTACCATCACCAACATCACCACCGTAATAATCATCACCACCATCATCATTATCACCACCATCATCATCATCACCACCATCATCGCCGTTATCACAACATCATCACCACCATCACCACCATCATCACCACCACCATTATCACCTCCACCATCACCACCATTATCATCACCACCACCACCATCATCACTACCATCACCAACATCACCACCGTAATAATCATCACCACCCATCATCATCATCACCACCATCATCGCCGTCATCACAACATCATCATCACCACCATCATCACCACCACCATTATCACCTCCACCATCACCACCATCATCACCACCCACCACCACCACCATCATCACTACCATCACCAACATCACCACCATCATCACAACATCATCACCACCATCACCACCATCATCACCACCACCATTATCACCTCCACCATCACCACCATCATCACCACCATCACCACCATCATCACTACCATCACCACCACCACCATCATCACAACATCATCACCACCATCACCACCATCACCACCATCATCACCACCACCATTATCACCTCCACCATCACCACCATCATCACCACTCTTCACCACCACCACCATCACTACCATCACCAACATCACCACCATGCCCCTCCCCCCGTGACCCCCACGTGACCCCCCCCGTGACCCCCCCATGACCTCGACCCCTCCCCGTGTGTCCGCGTCATCTCCTCCTGCAGCTCGTCATGGAGTTCTGCCTCGCCTCAGCAGCCGACATCCTGGAAGGTGGGGAGGGGGGGGTGGTTATTGGGGGGGAGGGGTGGCATGGGGGGGGTTGTGTGGCTGTGTGTGTGTGTCACTGTGTGTGTGTGTGTCACTGTGTGTGTGTGTCACTGTGTGTGTGTGTCACTGTGTGTGTGTGTCACTGTGTGTGTGTGTGTGTCACTGTGTGTGTGTGTGGCTGTGTGTGTGTCACTGTGTGTGTGTGTGTGTCACTGTGTGTGTCACTGTGTGTGTCACTGTGTGTGTGTGTCACTGTGTGTGTCACTGTGTGTGTGTGTTACTGTGTGTGTGTGTGTCACTGTGTATGTGTGTGTGTGTCACTGTGTGTGTGTGTGTCACTGTGTATGTGTGTGTGTGTCACTGTGTATGTGTGTGTGTGTCACTGTGTGTGTGTGTGTGTGTCACTGTGTGTGTGTGTGTGTCACTGTGTATGTGTGTGTGTGTCACTGTGTGTGTGTGTCACTGTGTGTGTGTGTGTCACTGTGTGTGTGTCACTGTGTGTGTGTGTGTCACTGTGTGTGTGTGTGTCACTGTGTGTGTGTCACTGTGTGTGTGTGTCACTGTGTGTGTGTGTGTGTCACTGTGTGTGTGTGTGTCACTGTGTGTGTGTGTGTCACTGTGTGTGTGTGTGTCACTGTGTGTGTGTGTCACTGTGTGTGTGTGTCACTGTGTGTGTGTGTGGGGAGCGATAGTGTAGCGGTTAGCGCTACGCTGCGCTATGAACCTGGCGACCCGGGTTCGATTCCCTCTCACGGCCAACACCAGTGACGATTATCTGAACCGGTCCCGGGCCTCCCCTAGGTCGACTCAGCCTCAAATAAAGTACCTGGTGCGGTGTGTAAACATCGCCACTAGGGAGACAAAGGCGGTCGGGCGTGGTGCTGGCCACCCACCCCCTCGTGTACCGTTCCGGCCTTCATAGGTGCTCGCTAACAGCTCTTGCCCCTACAGTCTGTTAAGGCTATATGGGGGATCTTGGTGTGTCACTGTGTGTGTTTCACTGTGTGTGTCACTGTGTGTGTGTCACTGTGTGTGTGTGTCACTGTGTGTGTGTCACTGTGTGTGTGTGTCACTGTGTGTGTGTGTCACTGTGTGTGTGTTTCACGAAAGGGCGGTCATGCACGGACGCCATATTTTCTCTCCGTCTGCTACAGCGGAGGTGTAGGGAATTCCAACAAGACCTACGTCTCTGCTTTATTGACCTGGTCAAGGCACTATGATAACATCCGTAGGCCTGGGCTCTCTGGGTTGTTCTTCGTGCTTTCGGAGTCCCCTGACACTCTGCTCACGATCATTAAGGACCTTCGTGATGGTGAGCGGGCCCGGGTAAAACTACGTGGCCGGGAGTCAGAGCCATTTTCTGTTCACCTTGGGGTGCGACAGGGATGTCCTCTGGCTCCCACATTATTTAACATCTATTTTGACCACGTAGTTCGTGAAGCCTTCAGTTGCTGTACCGGAGGAATTTCCATTTGGTACAGATCAAATGGGAGGCTGATCGATGCCCGGGTGCGGTCAAGGGATGGGTCCCTATTGCTCAACCACGTTATGTATGCTGATGATTTGGTAATAGCTGCTCAGTCAGAGGAGGAGTTGGAGATGCTGCTGCTGAGACTGGAGCGTGCCACTAAGAGGTGGGGCCTTACCATCAGCCCCACCAAAACTAAGCACCTGCCTGGGTATTTTGTACCATCGGACACTCCACCCCCACAACTCCCAATCGGTGATGGGGCAGTTGTGGAGAGAGTGGAGAGTTTCCCATACCCGGGCAGTGTGCTCATGACCGGCTCTGGTTTAACAGCAGAGGTCTCACTCCGAATCAGTCGAGCGGCATAATATTTTCATTGGTTGCGTAATGCTGTGTGGAAGCTACCTGGTCTGTCTGCACGAAGCTTCAGGTTTTCTCGGCCACAGTCATTCCCTCCCTTCTCTACGCTTGCGAAACGTGGACCCCCCCTAATGGAACATCTTTGCCGGTTAGAAACATTTAGGCTGGCCTGCTTACGATCCATCCTGGGTTTAACCAGGCTGTATTGTGTGAGGAGCTCACAAATCCTTGAAAAAGCTGGACATAGTCCCATCGGTGAGCTCCTCCGGCGGGCAAGGCTGCGATGGCTGGGTCATGTAGCCCGCATGCCCAGCCACCGCATGCCGAAACAGCTTTTGTTCGGCCGGATCGAGGGGGCTAAACGGGCGCAGCACGGGCTAGCGAAGAGATGGAGTGATGTGGTACAGGAGGACGTGGAGCTGAGTGGACTTGCCGATGACTGGTACCAGCGGTGTCAAGATCGGCCTCTGTGGAGGAGGCTCGTGAAGGATGCTACTGGTCAGTTGGAGGCAGTCGCCCTCCAACAACAACGGAGAGCGGAGGAGCGACGCTCACAACAACGAGCGGAGCACCGGGTGGCTAAAGCACAGCAAGTTGGCACAGTAGGGTGCACAGGTGGTGCACCAGCCAGTCATCTCAGTCAGTCGACCCGTGGCACCTGGGTCTGCCCCGTGACCTCCTGCCAGTGGGCGTTCGACACTTCACGCGGCCTCAAGGTGCACATAGCCTGGCACAAGCGTCGTGGTGACGTCACCGCCACTTAGTGGCGAATGGCGGTTGTTGCTGTTGTGGTAGTGTAGTGGGGAGCGATGGTGTAGCGGGGAGCGATGGTGTAGCGGTTAGCGCTACGCTGCGCTATGAACCTGGCGACCCGGGTTCGATTCCCACTCACGGCCAACACAAGTGACGATTATCTGAACCGGTCCCGGGCCTCCCCTAGGTCGACTCGGCCTCAAATGAGTACCTGGTGCGGTGTGTAAACATCGCCACTGGGGAGACAAAGGCGGTCGGGCGTGGTGCTGGCCACCCACCCCCTCGTGTACCGTTCCGGCCTTCATAGGTGCTCGCTAACAGCACTTGCCCCTACAGTCTGTTAAGGCTATACGGGGGATCTTTGTCTTTGTAGTAGTGGTTAGCGCTTCGAACTCGGCGACCCGGGTTCGATTCCCGCTCACGACCAACACCGGCAGTGACGATTATCTGAGCCGGTCCTGGGCCTCCCCTAGGTCGACTCAGCCTCAAATGAGTAACCTGGTGTAGCTGTGGTGGTGGTGGTGGTGGAGTGAACATCGCCACTGGGGAGACAAAGGCTGCCGGGCATGGCGCTGGCCACCCACTAGGGCCGAGGGATTTGGGGGAAGAGATCTAATTGCGATTTTTCTGACAGACATTGCGATTTGATTTGCGATTGCATGTTTGCAAAGTCCAGCTTCAGTTGAATATTCACTGTGTAGTAGGTTCAAAACACGTGATGGAGCATTACCACGTGATACCATCAAAATATCAACTGCTCGATGTGTTATGATGCAACGATGTGAACCTATGAGATGCGAATTGCTTCCAGCGTGGCATTTGTACGAATGTTTTAATTGAAACGGAACAATCAAACGCGGAACAATTGTTAGGCTGAATGAAAAAAAAAAAATTTGCAATAATAAGGCGTGAAACAATCCCAGTAAGAGAGCAACGGGACTTTTCAAGTCGCGAAAAAATCGCGGGCCTTTGCTATTTGCCGATCGCGTCGATTCAAATTGATGATGATGGTGGTGGTGATGAAATTGAAATCGATCGATCGGTCAGCCCTACCACCCGCCCCCTCTGCACCGCTAGCCTTTTAAAAGGTGCTACTCGCTCGCCATCACGGCACTTGCCCCTACCGTCTGCTGAGGCTGCACGGGGGGATTTTTGTTCGCTGCGTGTTGCAGTGTGCCAGGCTGATCTGACGGAGGCCGAGATCTCCGGCATCGTGCTGGGAGCCGTCGGCGGGCTCAGCTACCTCCACCACCTCGGAGTTATCCATCGGTAAGCACCGCCCCCCTCCCCCCTGAGACTCCCACCCTGAGAGACTCCCACCCAGAGTCACTCCCACCCAGAGAGACTCCCACCCAGAGTCACTCCCACCCAGAGAGACTCCCACCCAGAGAGACTCCCACCCAGAGTCACTCCCACCCAGAGTCACTCCCACCCAGAGACTCCCACCCAGAGACTCCCACCCAGAGACTCCCACCCAGAGTCACTCCCACCCAGAGACTCCCACCCAGAGTCACTTCCACCCAGAGTCACTCCCACCCAGAGACTCCCACCCAGAGACTCCCACCCAGAGTCACTCCCACCCAGAGACTCCCACCCAGAGACTTCCACCCAGAGACTCCCACCCACCCAGAGACTCCCACCCAGAGACTCCCGCCCAGAGACTCCCACCCAGAGACTCCCACCCAGAGAGACTCCCACCCAGAGACTCACCACCCACCCAGAGACTCCCACCCAGAGACTCCCACCCAGAGACTCCCACCCAGAGTCACTCCCACCCAGAGACTCCCACCCAGAGGCACTCCCACTCAGAGACTCCCACCCAGAGACTCCCACCCAGAGACTCCCACCCAGAGTCACTCCCACCCAGAGTCACTCCCACCCAGAGACTCCCACCCAGAGACTCCCACCCAGAGACTCCCACCCACCCAGAGACTTCCACCCAGAGACTCCCACACACCCAGAGACTCCCACCCAGAGACTCCCACCCAGAGACTCCCACCCAGAGACTCCCACCCAGAGAGACTCCCACCCAGAGACTCCCACCCACCCAGAGACTCCCACCCAGAGACTCCCACCCAGAGACTCCCACCCAGAGTCACTCCCACCCAGAGACTCCCACCCAGAGGCACTCCCACTCAGAGACTCCCACCCAGAGACTCCCACCCAGAGATTCCCACCCAGAGTCACTCCCACCCAGAGTCACTCCCACCCAGAGACTCCCCACCCAGAGAGACTCCCACCCAGAGACTCCCACCCAGAGTCACTCCCACCCAGAGACTCCCACCCAGAGACTCCCCCCCCCAGAGACTCCCACCCAGAGTCTCCCACCCAGAGTCACTCCCACCCAGAGACTCCCACCCAGAGTCACTCCCACCCAGAGTCACTCCCACCCAGAGACTCCCACCCAGAGACTCCCACCCAGAGTCACTCCCACTCAGAGACTCCCACCCAGAGACTCCCACCCAGAGTCACTCCCACCCAGAGTCACTCCCACCCAGAGACTCCCCACCCAGAGAGACTCCCACCCAGAGTCACTCCCACCCAGAGTCACTCCCACCCAGAGTCAGTCCCACCCAGAGACTCCCACCCAGAGTCTCCCACCCAGAGTCACTCCCACCCAGAGACTCCCACCCAGAGTCACTCCCACCCAGAGTCACTCCCACCCAGAGTCACTCCCACCCAGAGTCACTCCCACCCAGAGTCACTCCCACCCAGAGACTCCCACCCAGAGAGACTCCCACCCAGAGTCTCCCACCCAGAGACTCCCACCCAGAGACTCCCACCCAGAGACTCCCACCCAGAGACTCCCACCCAGAGTCTCCCACCCAGAGAGACTTCCACCCAGAGACTCCCACCCAGAGAGACTCCCACCCAGAGTCTCCCACCCAGAGACTCCCACCCAGAGAGACTCCCACCCAGAGACTCCCACCCAGAGACTCCCACCCAGAGTCTCCCACCCAGAGAAGACTCCCACCCAGAGACTCCCACCCAGAGACTCCCACCCAGAGACTCCCACCCAAGAGACTCCCACCCAGAGACTCCCACCCAGAGAGACTCCCACCCAGAGTCTCCCACCCAGAGAGACTCCCACCCAGAGACTCCCACCCAGAGAGACTCCCACCCAGAGACTCCCACCCAGAGACTCCCACCCAGAGAGACTCCCACCCAGAGACTCCCACCCAGAGAGTCTCCCACCCAGAGACTCCCACCCACAGAGACTCCCACCCAGAGACTCCCACCCAGAGACTCCCACCCAGAGACTCCCACCCAGAGACTCCCACCCAGAGACTCCCACCCAGAGTCTCCCACCCAGAGACTCCCACCCAGAGACTCCCACCCAGAGACTCCCACCCAGAGAGACTCCCACCCAGAGACTCCCACCCAGAGACTCCACCCAGAGAGACTCCCACCCAGAGACTCCCACCCAGAGAGTCTCCCACCCAGAGACTCCCACCCAGAGAGACTCCCACCCAGAGACTCCCACCCAGAGACTCCCACCCAGAGACTCCCACCCAGAGACTCCCACCCAGAGACTCCCACCCAGAGACTCCCACCCCGAGTCTCCCACCCAGAGACTCCCACCCAGAGACTCCCACCCAGAGACTCCCACCCAGAGACTCCCACCCAGAGACTCCCACCCAGAGACTCCCACCAAGAGTCTCCACTCAGAGACTCCCACCCAGAGACTCCCACCCAGAGACTCCCACCCAGAGAGACTCCCACCCAGAGAGACTCCCACCCAGAGTCCTCCCACCCAGAGTCACTCCCCACCCAGAGACTCCCACCCAGAGACTCCCACCCAGAGTCCTCCCACCCAGAGAGGACTCCCACCCAGAGACTCCCACCCAGAGACTCCCACCCAGAGTCACTCCACCAGAGACTCCCACCCAGAGACTCCCACCAAGAGTCTCCCACCCAGAGATCTCCCACCCAGAGACTCCCACCCAGAGACTCCCACCCAGAGAGTCTCCCACCCAGAGACTCCCACCCAGAGAGACTCCCACCCAGAGACTCCCACCCAGAGACTCCCACCCAGAGACTCCCACCCAGAGACTCCCACCCAGAGACTCCCACCCAGAGACTCCCACCCAGAGTCTCCCACCCAGAGACTCCCACCCAGAGACTCCCACCCAGAGACTCCCACCCAGAGACTCCCACCCAGAGACTCCCACCCAGAGACTCCCACCAAGAGTCTCCCACTCAGAGACTCCCACCCAGAGACTCCCACCCAGAGACTCCCACCCAGAGAGACTCCCACCCAGAGAGACTCCCACCCAGAGTCACTCCCACCCAGAGTCACTCCCACCCAGAGTCACTCCCACCCAGAGACTCCCACCCAGAGACTCCCACCCAGAGTCTCCCACCCAGAGAGACTCCCACCCAGAGACTCCCACCCAGAGACTCCCACCCAGAGTCACTCCCACCCAGAGAGACTCCCACCCAGAGACTCCCACCAAGAGTCTCCCACCCAGAGTCTCCCACCCAGAGACTCCCACCCAGAGACTCCCACCCAGAGACTCCCACCCAGAGTCTCCCACCCAGAGAGACTCCCACCCAGAGAGACTCCCACCCAGAGACTCCCACCCAGAGACTCCCACCCAGATACTCCCACCCAGAGACTCCCACCCAGAGACTCCCACCCAGAGACTCCCACCCAGAGTCTCCCACCCAGAGACTCCCACCCAGAGACTCCCACCCAGAGACTCCCACCCAGAGAGACTCCCACCCAGAGACTCCCACCCAGAGACTCCCACCCAGAGAGACTCCCACCCAGAGACTCCCACCCAGAGAGTCTCCCACCCAGAGACTCCCACCCAGAGAGACTCCCACCCAGAGACTCCCACCCAGAGACTCCCACCCAGAGACTCCCACCCAGAGACTCCCACCCAGAGACTCCCACCCAGAGACTCCCACCCCGAGTCTCCACCAGAGACCCACAGAGACTCCCCAACCCAGAGACTCCCCAACTCACCAGAGACTCCCACCCAGAGACTCCCACCAGAGACTCCCACCAAGAGTCTCCCACTCAGAGACTCCCACCCAGAGACTCCCACCCAGAGACTCCCACCCAGAGAGACTCCCACCCAGAGAGACTCCCACCCAGAGTCACTCCCACCCAGAGTCACTCCCACCCAGAGACTCCCACCCAGAGACTCCCACCCAGAGTCTCCCACCCAGAGAGACTCCCACCCAGAGACTCCCACCCAGAGACTCCCACCCAGAGACCTCCCACCCACCCCGAGACTCCACCCAGAGACTCCCACCCACCCAGAGACTCCCACCAAGAGACTCCCACCCAGAGACTCCCACCCAGAGACTCCCCACCCAGAGAGACTCCCCACCACAGAGACTCCCCACCCACCCAGAGACATCCCACCCAGAGAGACTCCCACCCAGAGTACTCCCACCAGAGTCACTCCCACCCAGAGACTCCCACCAGAGGACTCCCACCAGAGACTCCCCACCCAGAGGACTCCCACCCAGAGACTCCCACCAGAGAGCACTCCCCACCCAGAGTCACTCCCACCCAGGAGACTCCCCACCCAGAGGACTCCCACCCAGAGACTCCCACCCAGAGTCACTTCCCAACCCAGAGCACTCCCACCCAGAGACTCCCACCCAGAGACTCCCACCCAGAGTACTCCCACCCAGAGTACTCCCACCCAGAGAGGACTCCCACCCAGAGTACTCCCACCCAGAGTACTCCCACCCAGAGTACTCCCACCCAGAGACTCCCACCCAGAGACTCCCACCCAGAGACTCCCACCCAGAGACTCCCACCCAGAGACTCCCACCCAGAGACTCCCACCAAGAGTCTCCCACTCAGAGACTCCCACCCAGAGACTCCCACCCAGAGACTCCCACCCAGAGACTCCCACCCAGAGAGACTCCCACCCAGAGAGACTCCCACCCAGAGTCACTCCCACCCAGAGTCACTCCCACCCAGAGACTCCCACCCAGAGACTCCCACCCAGAGTCTCCCACCCAGAGAGACTCCCACCCAGAGACTCCCACCCAGAGACTCCCACCCAGAGTCACTCCCACCCAGAGAGACTCCCACCCAGAGACTCCCACCAAGAGTCTCCCACCCAGAGTCTCCCACCCAGAGACTCCCACCCAGAGACTCCCACCCAGAGACTCCCACCCAGAGTCTCCCACCCAGAGAGACTCCCACCCAGAGAGACTCCCACCCAGAGACTCCCACCCAGAGACTCCCACCCAGATACTCCCACCAGAGACTCCCACCAGAGACTCCCACCCAGAGACTC